TCCCAGGTTCCCTCCATACAGGGCATGAGAGATTATGTGCATACATCTTATTCCTTATGTGGCTTTTTGGATTTAAGCAATGGAGAAGCTTCCAGATTAAAAACTGCAAGTGTCCTAATTATCAACTCAATTTACCCCAGCATAGTGGCAACCATCCAGCGGCAGTAAATACTCATCTTCAGGTAACATGTTTACTCAGCCAGGAAGTAGCATTAACTAATCATATACAAAAGTTTCAGAGGGGTAGCCAAGATCGTCTGTCACAGGAAACACTTAAAAAAAACAACAAATAGTCTGGCAGCACTTTAAAGACTAAAAAAACATGCAGATGGTATCATGAGCTTTTGTGGCCACAGCCCACTTCTTCAGATTCCCCCTCTTGATTCTGGACTTCCAATACTCCAGTTGTCTGAAGAAGTGGGCTGTGCCCATGAAAGTTCCTACCACCATCTTTGGGAACATGTTTTGTTAGTCTTTAAAATGCTACCAGACTATTTGTTGTTTTTAAGTTTAATCATATAAGATAAAGCAGCCGGCCAGACAGTCTCACTAGGAACACACCCATGGCCTAGCAGTTTTGCAGCCTAACGGCTTTTGCAGCATGCCCTGGAGGTCACCAATGAAGGGTTATTTTAGACCAAAGATGGAAGTCAGTTCCAAAGCTGTCACCAAAGGATGGTTCGTCAGGCCCGGAAAGTGAAGTGCCCAAGAATTCCCCAATGCTACAAAGCACATGTTGCGTGCATAGTCTCGGGCACATAATTGCTAAGTGTTTCCAGCTTTAAGAACACACTGTGAGGTGACTGAAATGGCCCACCCAACCCTCCCCTCCCCGGAACATTAGAAGAACGTGAGGCTCGCATCTTGGAACAGGCGGGGTGCCTCAGAAAGCTGCCTCGTTACCGCGGCGATTTACCATGCCCAGGAGTCACTTCACAAGGGTGTTGCTATGGTAACCGGGGGGGGAGTGATTTAAAAGGGGGAGGGGATGCATCCTGCACTCCCCTATTTCCTTCCCCCACTGGAATATGCATGAGGAGTCACTAGTGAGGCACGCAGGCCTGTCTCGCACGCCCCTTGCACTAGTCTGAGCAGTGGTGATGGTACTTCCAGGTTCTTCACTATAAATAAGGCATGCTTTAATAGTGATGAGATCATACAAGGGTAGAGGTGGAAAGAACTGTCTCATGAGTTGCGCCTCGCCCATCAAAAAAGTCCAGAGCCTCCACTGGCCCTCGCTGAGAAGGCCTTGCCAGCACAAAAAGGCTGGGGAGTCCAATTTAATGCTTCTGGTACATGCAGCTGTGGCAGTCAGCACCCAGGAGAAATGCACTCCTCTTGCTGCACGCGCATGCAGCCGATACAAATGTTTACAAATTCAAACCCGGCACCTGCAAAGAGCTCTGCATGGGCAAAGCCATGGTGCAGTTTGCAAGCTTTCCAGGGCTCTTGTAAAACCCTGGTCCGGTACAGACTTACACGTGTAAGGCACTTTACACACACGGTTAGCCCCACCGAAGTCTCGACCAAATCGTGGCCTTGCCGCCCTCTGTGTGTGTTTCCTATCTCTAGGATCGGTCTGATAAATCCATGGGTCTAATTTTCCTCTATAAAAATGTGCCACTGATATCAAAGCTATTGTTAGGAGAACACACTGTGTTCATATCTGGAGGCCAGAAACTGAATCCAAGCAAAACAAATCTGATTTGCTTTCAACGTCAAAGCCCCTTCAGTCGGCGGGTGTAGTTACAGTTGTTTAACAGTAACCACAGTGACTGATACATGTGACGTCATTTCAGTCTGTGCCCTGCTTTTAGAAGAGTCTTATTTATAATTAGTCAGAGGGACCCGATCCTGCCAGCTGCCACCTTGCAAATGCCCATTAACAAAAAAGAGAATTTTGATTAAAGGTCACAGGAAATAGTACGGGATTTGCACGAGTAAGGAACTAACTTCTTTTTTTTGTTATTAAAAGGCCAGTCACCTTCAATTGCTTCTAGTACAGTGGGCATGTGATACGCACAAAGAGAACACGATACCTGCCCTAGGTAGATTTTATGTTTTAACATAGAGCTGAGCTTTGGAAGCTCAGATATATAAACATCCCCAAGTTTTGGGGAGTGTTTAGATTCAGGATTTGGCTTCCTACCGATAGGGACCAGCTGTTTTCTGGATGTGGGCATTTGCAACTCAGCTTCAAGCCAAGATATATACCATCAATTTTAGATTCAGGGATTCCATGTGCAGAGGCATAACATCAAGGCTGACAAGAGTCTTCATCTCCACCCGCCTGAAAGGGGTAGGGCCTTGGATGGAAGGGGCAAGTTTGGAGGCTACCCTCCCCACCCAGCCCTTCAGCACTTCCAAGGGCTCCAGCAGTGATTTAGAGCAGTGGTCTCCAAACTTTTTTGATCACGCACACCTACCGGTAAAAATTTTTTGAGCATGCACCCCCAATATATGTACATTTATTAATAAATATCTTATAAACCTCTATCTTTTCTCTCTGCTGCCATGTCTCCTCCCCTTGCTCCATCAGCTCCCCTGGTGCCTTCTGCCCCCCAACCCCTCACTCTCCTCTGCTGTTCTGACTCCTGCCCTTCTCACTGCCCTCAGCCTTCCTGAGACCTGCCCCCCTCCACCAGCCCTTCTCTCCCCCTGTGCCCACTCCTCCAGTAGCCCCACTCTGATCATGTGAGGTCTGCCTCCTGATCCCCTCTCCTAACACCTCCCTCTACACACCTGCCCTGCCTCTCTCCTCTGGTGCTGGTCCCTCCCCTGCAGGTGTCTGCCCTTCTGCTTCACCCCCAGAATCCCCTGGCACCTGCACCTTCCCTTACCCCTGCACCCTCCTGGTGCCTCCACCTTCCCTCAGTGCCCCTGCCCCCTTTGCCCTCTTTCCCCCCCATGCCCACCCCCTCACCATCCTCTGCCCCCATTCCTCTCATGCCTATGCCCTAACGCATGACTTGCTCCATCCCCATCTTCCTCATGCCCACCCCTTCTTTCAAGCCTTGTCCCAGCCCCCCCTCCTCCTTCTAGCCCCCAATGCCCTTCCCCTCTCCTCTCCCAGTATCACTCTGTCCCCCCTCCCACTGACACCTCCCCTCCTGCCCTTTTCCTCATTGTCTCCACTTGACCCCCTGGCATTTGTCTCTCCTGGAGGTCCCTGTCCCTTGCCCTTTATTCTCCTGACCTTCCTCCCTCCCCTCAGCACAAGCCCTTTCCTCTCCCACCCCTTCCCCCTATTTTTCCCCTTCCCCTCCTCCACCTTCTGCTTTCCAATTTGCGAGGCTGGAGTCTGTGATTGGGCCCCAGAAGTCCCTGCAACCCGGTCCCCAGATGCTTCCAGGGCTACAGACCACGTGCCAGGCTGAGCAGTGCAACGCTGGGCCAGGCATTTTTAAAGTCCTGGGCCTTGACGTCCTGCCATGCCTGGGCATCTCCCCTCTCAGCTGTTGCACAGCATTTGAGCATGCTGTACATGTGCTCTGTTGGACCCACCTCCCTTGGCCCCACTGTGCCCTGTACATGGCCGGCACCAGGGAATTTTCTTCCCGTGCCCCAATGGATCATCTTGCACACCCCTTGGGGTGTGCACACCCCACTTTGGAGACCACTGATTTAGAGGGCCCGGGGCTTGGACTGCAGCAGCTGCCGAGGTTACAACAGTGGTGGCCAGAAGCCCTGGGCTTTTTTAAATGTCTGTTCCTGGGGCAGCTGCTTCTTTTGCTCCCCTCAGTAACGTTCAATTTGTCCAAGCAATAAGTAAATGGAAGTGCTGGTGAAATCCTGACCATGATGAAGTCAATGGCAAAACTTTTATGGACTTTAATTGGATCAAGATTTCACCTGCCAACTTCATTCCAATCCTGTCAGCTCTTGGTCCAAACCACCCCTCACAGCCACTTGGAATCGGTGGCAAGCCACGCATGCTTTGAGATTCTTGGACAGGATCTTACCTGAGTGTCTTCCGTTTGCAAATTGGGCTCAAGCACTTTTTGAACACAACATACTTTCTCATGGGGCTTTCCAGCCTAATTTCAACCCCCAGGGCCAAAGGCAGCTGCAAAGGGGGATGGATGTGGGAAAATCCATATTCAACAGTTTCAAAAGCTTAAAAGTAAAGTTGTGGTTTGATTCTATAATAGAGGATAGGGGTGCGAGGGAGAGGCATCTGTAATTTTTTTTACAGTTTGGGGAGAAGGACTCAGAGCCAACTAAAGGAAACACATTCCAGGGTAATGAATTAGACAAACACCCACATGCGATCCTGCCCAGAGCAAGAAATACAACTGCAGGAGAAAAAAAAAATCTTCCTCTTCTTCTCCAGCACTGAGGAGAGAGGTTGGCAGTTTGACAATGATTTGAAAAAGAAACTCACCTGCCCAGTCTAATTGAGGGAGGTGTCTTGGACCTGTATGTCCAGAGAGAAAGTCTCAGCCCTTCACTTCCTCCCGTTGCAGGTGAAAAACCAGGCTGCTCCCACTGGGGATAATTGAAGCCCAAGGCCCTGAAACTAGGAACCCAGCTGACGGCTCCAGCTGGTCCCTTTGCAGGCAAGGTGAAGATGATTGTGGATTACGCCTCCAGCGCCAGCTGGTTTAGATGATTGAGAAACAAGCGCCCTCTAGCGGCGCCGCAGCGCCACAACCACCAAAAAAAAAGTTCCAGGAGGATGGGAAGTTTGGGAAAGTTGGAAGTGGCTGGGAGTTTTTGCCTCCTCGCTGCGCGTGTGAGAGAGCCTGACATGCAGATCAGTACCCGCCTTCCCGTGCCTGTTCAAATAGCAACGCCAGCTGGTTTAGATGATTGAGAAACAAGCGCCCTCTAGCGGCGCCGCAGCGCCACAACCACCAAAAAAAAAGTTCCAGGAGGATGGGAAGTTTGGGAAAGTTGGAAGTGGCTGGGAGTTTTTGCCTCCTCGCTGCGCGTGTGAGAGAGCCTGACATGCAGATCAGTACCCGCCTTCCCGTGCCTGTTCAAATAGCAAGCAGCCCTGAGCCCGGAGGGAGCTCCGGGCGCCGCCAGCCCCTGGCTTCGCACTTGTCACCTGCGGACGGGACGGGCAAAGTTTGTTTGAAGAACAAGCAGGGGAGAAAGTGGGGGGGACTGAGCTCCGAGGAGACCCAAAGAAGCCGCCCGGGAAGGCTCCGCTGGGGAGAGGCAGGATGCGACCCAAGCTGGCGCTGCTCTACCTCGTCTTCGGGGGGCTCCTGCCGGGCCCTGCACCCAGGAGGAAGCAGATCGACACCGGGCAATGTGAGCTGCCTCGATCGGTGAGCTAGTTTCCCCCTTCCCCAGCCTGCTTGGAGCCCACGCCCCGAGCACGAGCAGACCTTGGCGTTGTCCTCCAGGTGCCACTGTGTGTGGGCGGGGGGTAATTGCTGCTTTCTGCCCTCCCCACCCAAGTCACCCCCTGCCCCATCAGAGTAGGGAGACCTTTCCAAGGACCCATCCCTGCCTTGCTTGCCTCCCTCTCCTCTGCTGGACCAGAGCTTGCTTCCAGGGGCACAGGATGGCTGCCCAGTTCACTCCAGGCATGCCAGCTACCAGGGTGAGATCCACACATGCAGAGAGCTAGTCCAACCACACCTCTATGCACACCGGGCTGTGCCTCTCGATAGACACAGCTCTGTGGATGTGGTGCCTACGCACATGTGGCTGCATGGCAACATGCACGTTTTGGGTGTCTTGCTTATACTTGGGTATCAATACAATTTCTGTGTTTGTGTACACACACACACGCACAGCCTCCCCTTAGCCCTGCATGGGTATAGGCACTAACATAGCTTCAGTATATGTATTACATCTATAGCTATGTGACTTCGCCATCATCACATGTATCTGTCTGGTTATATACTTACTATGCAGAGGCAGGTACATAGAGCTATAGAAACACAGGTAAATATAGTTACAGAAAAGCAATAATTTTTTTTTATGAATTTGCCAAGATACCAATTAGATTTTTAAAGCTGAAATCTTAACCAGCTAGATTTGCTAATTGGATAAGTGTTATTGCCAACAGAAAATGGAATCTAAGCATATTACCTCCCTGTTATTGAATGCAGGGAGTGCTAGCTTGCTAATTTTAAGGCTGGATTCCTTTCAGGGCAACTTGGAAATTGAACTGTATTTCCTAAATATGAGCCCTTGCTTAATTCTTAACTAGCCAACAATTTATTAATTCACCCAGAGCTACATTAGTACATGCTACTGCTACTCAAGTGGAGACAGAACCAAAGTTTTAGATGTGTACTGCACATGAAGTATTGTACGACAAGCAAATAACAATGCAAATGAATAAGATTTCATATACAGATAGGTACATGAACAGAAGCTTTATTTTTTCTGTACGTGTGTGAAGTATTGTACGACAAGCAAATAATGCAAATGACTAAGATTTCACATACAGATAGGTACATGCACAGAAGCTTTATTTTTTCTGTACGTGTACATTATAGAGGCTCAGAATATGTGTGTGTGGAGTGTGTGTTTGTGTGTTGCATCTGGATCTATAGAGATATACCCCAAAACAGTCTACCTCATAGACATCTCTGCTGATGCAGTGTATTATCCTCAAGTTGGTAGTGTGTGTTGTAGATAAAGTGTGTACAGCAGAGTTGCTGTATGTAAAATTCTCTCGTATTCTATCACAGCAGAGTCGCTGTATGTAAAATTCTCTCGTATTCTATCCTTTGTCCGAGGGGGAGCCGTATTGGTCTGTAACTTTAAAAACAACGAGTAGTCCTGTGGCACCTTAGAGACTGAGGTATCATGAGCTTTTGTGGGCAAAACCCCCTTTTTTTTCTCCATTCAAGCTCATCTGAAAATGTGGGGACTCTCAAATTTTATAACCGAAAAAGAAGGAAGAGGGGAAAAAAAGTACCTGTCAATTGTAGTGCCAGTGGTAATGAAGCTTAAAGTTTTGTGGCCCTGCATCTTGTCCCCAAAACTGACTCTGCCTGTTCCCATCCACAGCAGGGAGAGCTAAATTCCTTCTTGTGGACCATCCGTCGGGACCCCCCGGCCTACTTGTTTGGCACCATCCATGTGCCCTACACACGGGTGTGGGACTTCATCCCGGAGAACTCCAAGGCAGCCTTCCAGGCCAGCACCAACGTATATTTTGAACTGGATCTCACAGACCCCTACACCATCTCGGGCCTGGCCAGTTGCCAGATGCTGCCCCATGGCGAGAACCTACAGGACGTGCTGCCTCGGGAGCTTTACCGTCGCCTCAAGCGGCACCTGGAGTACGTCAAGCTGATGCTGCCGCACTGGATGACCCCGGACCAGCGGGGCAAGGGGCTGTACGCCGATTACCTCTTCAACGCCATCGCCGGCAACTGGGAGCGCAAGAGGCCCGTCTGGGTGATGCTGATGGTCAATTCCCTGACAGAGACGGACATCCGCTCCCGAGGAGTGCCTGTGCTAGACCTCTACCTGGCCCAGGAGGCCGAGCGGATGAAGAAGAGGACAGGGGCTGTGGAGAGGGTGGAGGAACAGTGTCACCCATTGAATGGGCTCAACTTCTCCCAGGTAAGGGGGGCTTGGCCCCATGGGTCTCTTTGTCCATCCCAGCATGGGGAGAGGAAAGCTGAGAAGCACCAGGCTAAGGGGACTCAGGCAGACACAGCATAAGCTAAAGACCGTTGAGGCTGCAAAGACCTTTAGAGCAGTCCCTTAGCAACCGAACACTGATGGTACCGTCTACCTGCAGAGGTGACTTTCCCTCAGTGCGTGTGCGGGATAGCCACCACAACACAAATGCACACCCACCCCACTCTATCTCTGTGCCACATGTGATATTCGGAAGCTTGAGATGTGCTGTCCGTAAGTTAATAAAAATGCAAGGGAACGTGTCTGATTTCTGCAGCAACTTGGCACAAAGTTTTACCAACATCCTCTCCTTCCCTGCAACTAAGAAGTAAAATTATGAATTGAAAGGTGCCCGGGGGGAAGGGGTATAGTTTTAATGTCATTTTCTGGGTGTTTAATGTTGTACAAGCGGCTTGGGTGTCCTTGTGTTATTCCATGCCTAAAGATATGGACTTTATATAAGCTGTTGTGCGCTGAGAGAAATGGAATTTTCATTTCTCGGATCTGCAACGGGGAGGAGGCTTGTTAAGAGGAGGAGAAGTTTGGAAAGCGATGGACAGATTGAGGAGCAAGGGTTGGCGTAGCTTGAATCCAGAATGTCTCTTTCTGTTGAAGATTCAGCTTTTAAAATCAAATCCCATGCCAGTGACTATTTGGCTTGAGTGGATTTAACTTTGCTCTGTGAAATTGACCAATTAGACAGACTGGAAATTCTGAAAATGAGCAAAAAGAGTGGGAGGGGAAATATTCCAGTGAAAACTATGATTTACAATTACAGTGTATCAGTTTTTGTAACCGGCTTTAATCCTTACTGTAAGTGCAGCTATTTCCAGTTGTAACCCTGCTGTCCTTATTTAAACAAAAAACCCTCAGGGGCCTTTTCAGTGGAGAAACTGTCACCAACTGATGCTTTTTTTTCTCAATTATTTAATGGGGGTTTTGCTTTACAGGGAAAAATCACTTTTTTTTTTGTTCTTTTTGCAAAAGTAAATTCATTTCTTGTTCCCTGTGGTTAGTCTAGCATTATATACAAAGTTCCCATAATAAGTCTGAGAGAACCTGGGCTCTCAGGTATGGAAAGTATACAGTTTGAGTTGTTAAAAATTGTTATTTCTAAACCAAAACCTACAGATATCAGTGTTTTCTGACCAGGCATTTGCTTCTACCTTTCCTTCAAAGGGTTAACTGCCTTTTCTTTTGGTTGATCACATACTACTTTAAAACTGAAGTCTAAATAATTAACCACTGTCCCTCCCAATATTGATCGAGTCCTAAGTTGGCCATAGTAAGTCAAATAGTACTTAAAATGATACACATGAAAAAGCCTTAGCTAAAAATCTACGCTTGGAAACCTTTTAAATGTGAATCCTATTGTACATTTTTGTGTGTGTGAGGGAAATAGAATTGTGCAAAAAAAAAAAAAATCATAGCACTTTGAAGATGGAAATTCAACTTATTTTCCTTTTTAGTCACTAATTTTTAAAATGTACCTAGAATCCCCCTTCCTTTTTTAAAAAAATGGGGCAATTACCAACTTTAGTAAAGGAGATTTTTTTTTTAATGGACAGGAAAGGTGAATGTTGTGGAAAATTCTGAATTTATTAACACAGTGTTAGGTTTTGATTATTGAATTTGTCTATTTGATTATGGATTGTTGATGTTGCTGTGAAAATACGTCACCATTCAAGAATCATTTTAAACATGTTTTTTTTCTCAGCGTGAAGCCACTTTTGGAAAGGTGGCTCTTAAAACAACATGAGACAAAATTAAGTAAAACAAACCAGATAGCTCTTTGCTTGCTTCCTTTAGGATGAATACATCCTGGCACCTGGCAAATTGTTTGGTGGTAGTAATTTGTAATGTTATCACTATGTCTGGCAGTCCCACTGTTTGGAGTATTTCTGTGCTAATTGAGAGGTGTGGGTTCCTATAACTAGATTTCTCTCCTCTTCATTCTAGATCTTGGATCTTTCTGTAAGAAACACATAATTAACCTTACTAAAAATGGAAATCAGAACTTGACCAGTTCTTATATTCCACTCCGTCCGTCTATGTGTGTGGTTTGAGAACATCTGCGCTAAATTACACTTCCAAATCTGCTAAGGGCATCAGCACTTTTTACCTGCTTTCAGCATTACTGCAATATCGCATATATTATATAATATTTGGAAATTAAGTCTTGTAATTGTGCCTCATTAAAACCTCTTCATGCTTGTGTTTTTTAGGGAAAAATCCAACTTATTTCCCTAGTAAGTTTAAAAATAATCATTTGCTTCCCCCTCCTCCCCCCATTTGAAAGGCAGCTTTGTGTCTTTGCAGATTTTAAGCAGGACTTTGTATACTCAGTCCATTAATCTGATACCATCAGGAAGGGAAAAGCTACAAGTGATCACCCAGTTGTATTTGACTTTGATTTGTTTCAGAATGAAACTGTCGGTATTTGCATTTTTAACCAGGAATGCTCCATGCCCAGAGTTCCTTCGACTTCTGAATTGTTTCATGCAGATGAGAAAATTAAGCTGTATGCTGAAACTGACTGCTTCTTTGAGAATGTCGTAAATCAGTTCCCCATTGGTCAAGTTGGCACTATGACATTTGTAATTGGGTCCTCTATTTTGCCTGGAACTTCTGTACAGTATTTCCTACTGATATCTGGAGACCTTGTGGTTGCTATAATGCTGCTATACCATTGATTTTAATTGCCCTCCAAATGTTGTTAAAATTGAGAGACGGCCCCCTTCAGTGTGTACAAGCACCCACAACTCTAGTGACTTCAGGGAGAGTTTTGGCTGCATAAGTAGCAGCATTAGCCAACCACACAGTGCATTACGTGACAGTGAAGGTTCCTAAATCCAACTGTGATAAGTAAAGGTGGCTCAGAACCCCCTATTCTAGCATTGGGGAAGTCTGGATGCTGATTCAAAACAGATCTGAACTGTATGGAACTATCTGCTTAGCAGCTTTGATTCGGAGTGAAGTTTTTGGGAGATACCTCAAAGGTTTGGTGCCTAAACCGGTGGGAGGCTCTGGGCCTGTACAATTAACAGACACTGCCCTGAATCTCCAAACTCAGATCCTGCTCCATATTTTGAACTCGCCCACACCTAGGGTAGCCATGGGTCCAGTTTTGAACCGGACAGTCCAGTATTTGAGCTTTTCTGTTTGGGAAACAAATGGAGAAAATAGAAATGCCAGGTATTTTCTAAATAAGATGTAATGTCGATTGTGATGTCATGTCAAGTGTGTCCGGTATTTTTGTTGAAACTATCTGGCAACCCTGCCTGCACTTTGTGGAGTCGCCTGGAATCGGCAGTTCTCATTCAGGCTCAGCTCCCGTTTTTAGGCTCCTAACATCCTGTCTTGCCATTTAACCTCAGATGAGGAGGAAAGGTGTGTTTATGAAAGCTAGGGATGTGAGTGGATAACCAGTTAACTGGTGTCCTGGTAAGCCTCTCCCTTAATGAACCTGTACTGGCTGGGAGCTGGCAGCTCACCCCGCTTCCTCTGCTGCTGCTTCTGTGCCCCTACCCAACCCCCGTGCAACGCTGCCAAATCCCAGCCTGTGTGGCCTCTCCTGCCTGGTTTTGGCAGGTGTTGGGGGAGAGCTGCCCCTACCAACGCAAAACACCATCTTGGCTTCACCATGCATCTTGCATGATCTAAAAATAAAAAAGGAGTCCTATAAAAAATGGAAAATAGGACAAATGACAAAGGATGAATATAGGCAAACAACACAGGAATGCAGGGGCAAGATTAGAAAGGCAAAGGCACAAAATGAGCTCAAACTAGCTATGGGAATAAAGGGAAACAAGAGGAGTCCTATAAAAAATGGAAAATAGGACAAATGACAAAGGATGAATATAGGCAAACAACACAGGAATGCAGGGGCAAGATTAGAAAGGCAAAGGCACAAAATGAGCTCAAACTAGCTATGGGAATAAAGGGAAACAAGACATTTTATAAATATATTAGAAGCAAGAGGAAGACTAAGGACAGGGCAGGCCCAGTGCTCAGTGAGGAGGAAGAAACAGTAACAGGAAACTCGGAAATGGCAGAGATGCTTAATGACTTCTTTGTTTTGATTTTCACCAAGAAGTCTGAAGGAATGCCTAACATAGCGAATGCTAGTGGGAAGGGGCTAGGTTTAGAAGACAAAATTAAAAAAGAACAAGTTAAAAGTAATTAAGGAAATCATCTGTAAATGCTTGGAAGGTGGCAAGGTGATAGGGAACAGCCAGCATGGATCTGTAAAGAACAAATCATGTCAAACCAATCTGATAGCTTTCTTTGATAGGATAACGAGTCTTGTGGATAAGGGAGAACGGTGGATGTGGTATACCTAAACTTTAGTAAGGCATTTGATACGGTCTCGCATGATATTCTTATCAATAAACTAGGCAAATACAACTTAGATGGGGCTACTATAAGGTGGGTGCATAACTGGCTGGATAACTGTACTCAGTAGTTATTAATGGTTCACAGTCTGGCTGGAAAGGCATAACAAGTGGGGTTCCTCAGGGGTCTGTTTTGGGCTGTTCAGTATCTTCATCAGCGATTTAGATATTGGCATAGAAAGTACACTTATTAAGTTTGCAGATGATACCAAGCTGGGAGGGGTTGCGA